GTGGTAGCTATTAATTTGGTACCTTTAACTGTAGGAGCAAGATCTATAGTTATATGACAACAAGGGCTTATACACTGTGAATTTCCCCTTAGTAGAGTGATTTTATTCTGTGGGGGCATTTAAGAGGAATAAAGAGGGAAAAATAGAGAAATCAATGAAGAATAAGCCACTAGTAGTGAGACTAAAGGACAAAGGAAGATCACTCAAGCTTTGAAAAGCTGGAGAAGAAGACGGGAGAGAAGGAATGAAGGAGAAAGCAAAAGAAGATTAAAGCAAACCAGAAAAAACAAGGAAATGTGCACTCCCATAAAAAAAAATTTAAAAAGACAATTGAGAAAAGAAGAAGAAACACAGAAAGAAAAACAACAAAAGTTAAAATGTAAACAACCAAAAAAAGAAAGAAAAAACAGGAGAGAGATTTCTCTGACCACAAGCCTATAGCTATTCTCTGGTGTCCATAGTCCTGTGGTAGTGTCTAGGTCAGAGCCCAAATCTGTCAACAAGTCTACAGCAGAATTAGTGCTGGGTATGGGGTAATCCCAGCAAGCCTGCAGTAGGGGTGGGGAGGGGCATCAACTCTGATCTTTCAGCTCCACAGACTCGCAGGCTGATTTTGGCCTCTGCCTGGGGAGCTGGGGGCCAATCTTGAGCCAGCAACACTCTGGATGTCCTTCAGTGGCCTTCCCATGTCTTTCTGTCCTATATGCCTCCATGGCAATTGCTCACCCAGTTGCTGTGGGATTTCAATGCTGGGAGCCCTAAGACAAAGGCAGCCATGGCTGTTATGAGTCTGGCATTCAGTTAGCCCCTCTCAGCCCTTTCACAGCCTCTTCTGTCCACCCCACTGGCACATTTCTCTTCTTGCTCAAGCTACTGGAAGTGAGGAGGTGCTTTTTCCCTTTGCACTATGGTTCCTCTCCTTGCTGTCTCTGCAGACTCCAGCTAGCCACTGTCGCATGCACCATGTACCTCTCTGGTCCACTGCCGTGTTTCTCCCTAGGGGTTTCTGGGCTTGTTCACTCTCGATGTGTCCCTGTAGGTAGGTTCAGTGCTCCTCTCTCCATGACCTGGGCACGAGAGTCCAGTGTTGATAGCTCCCAACCCAGTCAGAGGTTATTTGTTGTACCCTCATAGTCAGAGAACAAAGTGCCGCCGTAAGGGAGGGAGCAGCTTCCTGGTCACTTGCTCCTGGTGTGTGCCAGCAAAAACTGCTGCCAGGCTGCCACACTCCCTGTGTTTTTAGCTGATTTTCCCTGAGTATCTCCAATGTAACTCTGCCTCTGTTGGATCTACCAAGAAGTAACTTTCATGGAGCATTTATTATGATATTATTATTATGTCTCTGCCGTGCATGTGACATGATCAACCCATGAAATACTTGCAGGAGGTGGAAACCACTAAATTCCTACTTTTGAAGACATCAAGGCACAGAGAGGTTAAGTAGCTCAGTTCCACAGAGGAGAAGGCAAGATTTGAATCTGGGTAATCTCAGTGCCCTTTAGCAACACACAGCACGCTTCATAAACCAGTTGGTCTGAAATTAAGGCCTTCCTGGGGGAGCAGGAATCATTCCTTCTTGTTTTATTAACAAAAAAAGGCCAACAGTTGCACTTGTAATCCTTATCTTTTCTCCATTTCCTTCTTTTTAAAGCCAAAATGACCTTGGCTGTGACCTGAGGTTTTCTTTATTCCACGACTTGATTTATCTACTGCTGTAGTTTCTGAGCTTAAACCGGACCAAGGGACAGTATACCATGAATATTCCAAAAAGCCTGTTTTTTATGAGTCCCATATTAATGCACGCTGGTGGCAAGTTTGGAAATTTCTTTCAGCATGTGACACCCACTCCTGTAATTCCCAGGATCCCACTCTGGGCCCACGTCCACTGACCCGGCTATCAGCTCCTTGGCCTTCGAGATTCTAGTCCTCTTGCCAAAACTGCTTTCTATCTAATAAAACTGTGGTGGCGAGAAGATAAAAACACAAAGGCAGCAGGGTAATTTTTTCTTTCTCCAAAACTTTGAAATTCTTTGAGGCTTTCATTCCCTCTTGCTTTTTTTGCAGATAACAGTAAAAAATGGATGCTGCTGTTGCTGCTGCTGCTTTTATTGGCTTAATGTTTGGGGTCATAAGAATGTAAATATTTCCCCAAGGAAGAATACATTTGGGGGTTTAACTAAGATTGTTTCTTTTTATTTAAAAAAATTTAGTTATAAAAAAGAAGAAAGAATCTGCTGAACTAAACTGTGTCAAACAGGAAATAGAAAGTGGAGACCCCATCCATCTGGATGAAGATCTTCTGGGATTTGAGTAGGTCAGCTCTGCGGGTCCCATTTTGGTTGGCTTAGCTTTGAATAGTTCTATTTTAAATCCAAGGACTGTCATATTTAAATATATTTATATTTGGGCCAGATCACATAATCAGTAAAACTGACTTTGCTCCATATTTTAGTCATTAACTAGCTGTTATTTCTCTCTTTTCAGGCCAAACTCTCAATGTGAAGTGTATTTAACACGTCTCTTTCTCCTCATCTATTTCTTCCCTAAATCTCTGCTAGTCTGTCATGCATCTTCATTCCACCACAGAAACTATGCTTGTTGAAATCACCAACGCTTGCAGACAACAGAAGACACTCCAGTGTTCCTTCTCCCCATCACCCTCCTTGAGGCCCTCTGAACTATCTGTGCCTCTTGTCTCTGACCCTCTTCTGTCCCTGGCGTCTTTGCTCCCTGGAGGCTGCCTCTCTCTCAAGGGTGCCCATCTTCTGGGTGTTCGCCAAGACTTGGCTCTTGGCTCTGCTGAACTTAATTTTATCCGCATTAATCTTGGCTTAGTCTCCTATCTTGAGCTGTCAACATCATTTATGCTCCTCCCAAGCCGCCTTCTCCCACAGTTGTCTCACTCTGAGCATGCAGCCAGCATTCCCATCACCCCTGGAGAACTGGCTTTGCTGATTTGCTTTGCCCTGGCACCTGAAACTCAGCAGCCCACCTGCCAAAATCACGTTCTTCCTCCCAAGGCCACTCCCTCCCCAGAAGTTTCTCCCAGTGGCACCACCACTCTGTCTCTAAATCACTGGCCCCAGAAACCTCAGTCTTCCAGAATCATCTACGACCGTTTGCCCTGCACTTTGATCTCCCTGGGGTCATATACATTTTTTCACCTCCATCTCCCTGGAGCTTGGCCCAGGGCTTAGCACACACTACAAGCTCAATACGTATCTGCTGTACGATTGAGTGACATTTCCCTTTGGTTACCTGTATTCCCTCAGTCATCAATCTAATGAATGCATTAACCGATCTACACACATGTATTTGAGGAGCCTGTGAGGAGGATCTGCGAGGAGCGGGAGGGGCTGAGTCAGTTTGTTTTGTGTGCACTGTGTCTCAGCTTCTCCCATGCTGGGTGACCTTGAGCATTCTACTTAACCTGTCCTTGCTCAAGTTCTTCGTCTCTGAAGTGAAGAAACAGCAACACCCACCTAGGTGTGTGACGATAGCAGAGGAGGCATGAGCTGGGCCCGTAGAGGCCTGGAAGTCTGTGAAGTTCTGTGAGTACATGATGTCAGGGGACCAGGTAACCATACAGCCACAGCTAGAGGCTGGAGGCCAATGTCTGCTTGGGCTGGAGGGTCCAGCTCACTGATCCACGTGAAACATAGCAAGGGAAAGCCTGATTGAAGCTCACCTGCTAGGGAAATGGCTTCTCACTCTGCTCCTGCAGGCCCCGGGGTTTTCTTGGAGGTGTCTCCGAGACAGCCCCAGGAGGCGAATGCTGGATAGCAGGGAGGGTGGAGTGGGTTCGGGCCCTGGGCCTGAGTAGCTCTGAAGGAGCAGCTTTCCTGGGATTGGCTTTGCCTGCTGGTGTCTGGGCGAGGCCTCTTTGGCAGAAAGAACCCTGCAGCTTTCCAAAGGCTCGCACACCCTGAAGGAGGCCTGGGGGCAAACTGAGACTGGGGTTCCACGCTGGCGATAGGGAGGGTGTGGGGTAGATGGAAGAATAACCAGACCAAAGGGACACTTGGTTCCACCACTCTTCTATACCTCATTTGGTGGCAGTGTGTGCAGCTGGCTGGAAAGAGGAGCAGACACATTCTCCAGGCAGGGAGGATTTGCCCCCTCTGTCTCCTGCAGAGCATCCCCCCGCCTCGGCGCGGTGTGGCCACCTGCTGCTCTTCCTGAATACCGGGGCACCTCCCAGCCCTGCTTTACCGTTGGCCTCTCCATCAGTGCTAGCTCTCCAAAGTACCTCCCTGCCTTTGATTGTGGGATAAAAACGAAGTTCACTTGCTGGGCATGTAAAATTCAAAGTCCTAAAGAAGGACAAACTGTCTCTCTAACCCTATCCGCTACAGTATCAAGTCTGCCTCAGCAAGCTAAACCTTCCTCCAGGACCTGCACCTCTGACATCAGGTGTGTATTTCCTCTTGTGCATTCTGTGCACGCCTTGTCTAGGGGTGCACCCCTCCCCGCTCCCACCGGTACTCAGTTATATCCTGTAGACCTCACCCAGACCCCACAAGCTGTTTCTGACCATGTTTGGTCCTTCTCTCTCCATGTGAATACTTACAGGAGCCCTGCCACTTAAGTCCTTCCCCAGCAGTGATGGGTGTTTTTTCAGTTGCCAGTGTCACTCAACATAGTGCTGGGCTTACCGCACACCAACAAACCCAAATGGTTGTAAATTGGGCCACTTTGGGAACAGCTCTGAGCCTTTCCTCCCAAATAGGACCATTGCCTAAGCCACCCTCCACAGCCAGAGGCCACCTGAGACCTGCCCACCCCTGCCCTCAGTGCCTCAGCTCCCCTGCCCAGCCTGAGGATACTTGTTGGGCACAGGGTGGGGGCACGCAGAGATCTGCACAGCTGGCCAGATTTTGAAAAGAGGCTCCAGTCCAGCAGGCAGCTCTTCTAGACTCTGAAGTGAATTCTGGACAACTGTTAGTGCGAAGGAGATTCACAACGCTGTCCATAAAAAGGACCCAAGAAAAGAGACCCACCTGGACAGCCTGAATAGAGAGGATGATGTGCCCAAGGACTGCCAGCTGAGGGAACGTTCCCCTGGAGGCCATTCAGAGCCCGTGTACAGGCTGCAAGTGCGCTTCTGCTAACCACAGCAAGAGTGACAAGAGCAATCCACAACCTGCGGTCGAGGCGGAAGTAGAAAGGCTTCCTGTTCCTCACCTTGCCCAGCCCCCAAACACCGAGGCATGGCATGCTACAGTGATGCTATCTTCTGAAAAAGGCTTTCTGCGCCCAGCAAGTGCCGGTGTCTCAGTGAGCTCCTGTTTCACGGGTTTCCTCTTTTACGGCTCAGGAATCACGGCACAGATGGCTGTAAGCATCATCAACAAATCGTCCCTGCAACCTTTCTCAGCTGTGCCAGGTGTTAGGTACACCAGGCCGTGGTCCTCGGGGAGCTCCCAGCACAGATGCAGTGATGAGTGATCCAACAATAAAATAAACGATAAATAATGTTTCCAGAGAGCTCAGGCTAAATGCCAGAGCAGTCGGGGAAGAGGCTAGAGCAGCTGGGAAGGGCAGATCCCTGCAGGCTGCCTTATCAGTACAGGCCCAGGAGCGAGGTGGGGAAGGAGCTGAAGTCAACCTTTAGGAATGATCTACTGGATTCAAACCAAGATGGCAGGTGAAGGGTTAGGACAGTGACTCGCTCGCTGCTAGGAAACATGTCTCTTTCAGAAGTGTGTGGGGAGTTTCCTGTCACTGTGGTCAGACTGCTGTGGGAAGTAAGGTTTACAAAAGAGTGGACCTCGGGCCCCGTAAGGACACCCCGAAGCAGCACGGGAAGGTTCATCTAACCCTGTTCTCACTAAGTAAGTGATTTGTCACCACACTTGTCCATGCCTTGAGTGATCCACAAATCAATGACAAGATCAGATGTTGGCAAAAAGCAACTCAGCTTCAACTTAAAGTACAGCTACTGTCACCATTGCTGTCATACATGGGAAGGTAAAGGAGCCATGACAGAAAACACGGGGATGACATGGGGTTGGCAGGAAGCAGCCTTCCCCTTTATGCACATTCACTGCCAAGAGCCTGCGTGTTCTCTGCCCGAATATTCAACGCAATTCAAGAGCAGGAGCCCACGCACCCCCGCAGGGAGCTTCCCGGTTCACCTCCACGGCAGGGAGAGCTCATCCACCTGCAAGTCCACGTATCACGATTCCTGCCTGCCTTTTAACAGCTTCCCCTCAGGTCTTCTCTTGGAGCCACTAGGAAACTGCGACTCTGCTTGATCTCTCTGTTCTCCCTCTGCCTTCAGGTTTGGCTGCGCTCCTCTTGCACACGCCAGCTCGGTGCTGCAGCCAGTGCAGAGGTGATGGCACCAGCCTGGGTCTCAGTCGTCTCTTCTGGAACTGGCGTTTTTATGATGCTCCCAAGAAAACGCGATTACTTTATGCACTCTTGGGAAAAGTTCAGTCCCTGAGTACGCGACAGCAGTGCCTCAGGTGTGCTTTGGACCCTGCACGGGCCCCGGGCGGAAGCCAGGCCGGGCCTCTGCCACCACTCTGAACTCTCAGCGCCTCTTTGTGTGATGGAGGTTGGCGAGGAGCATCTGAACACGCATGAAGTCCTCAGCGCAGAGCCTGGCTCAGCACGAGAGCTCACAGCAGTGGTCTAAAGAACATGAGGGCTCAAGTTAAAGGGTGAAGAAGGAGACGACAGGCTGTACCCAAACTGTAGAGAGGTCAAGCTTCAAAGGAGCCTCCCTGCAGACCAGTATCTGGTGGCCTGGGCACGGCACAGACTCGTTCTGTCTCAGCGGTGCAACGAGAGGAGAAAATCAGGACCATGTCAACATCCGTATCAAAATACAGTCTGTCATAAAGACAACAGGAACCAGCAGCGCGCTCTTCCGATGTGGACACAGCTGCGAGGAGTGACAATCGCTTGCTGGCCAGGGCAGGGCCCTCTGCGTTGAGGCCCGAGGAGGCGGCCAGGATCTCTTAGCGACCTGAGAGCGATGAGGGGCGGGTGGGACCCAGTTCACTTAGTGCGCAGCCGGGAGACAGACTGGGGCAGGAAGAAGTTAAACGTGAGACCCGTATGTTTTCTGCGGGGAAAGACTCGCACGGTAAAAGAGAAAGCTATCGATTCTTCCCCTTCCCCCAAAGCAGAGGAGAGCACATTTTAAATCTACATTATTCTATATTTCCTTCAGACTTCTGAATTTGAGGGTTTTTTTTTAAAAAAGTTTTTAATTGACAGAATATTTATTAGTGTCACAGTGCGGAGGATTTCCAGCAACAGTTGAAAGCTGCGGTGAGCCGTTCTATGCGAAACAAGCTCAAAGCATTCCGTCTCCCCGTGGAAGTGATCAGCCCGGAGCTCAAACTGCAGGGAGAGAGACAGAGCCCAAGTCCCTTCCCCGGGCTGGAGATACATCTGTTCGCTGCCACCTGGGCCTGGCCTTGGGAGTTCTTCTTCAAAGTCCGCTTTCCACTGGGGCCCCTCCTCTTTTGTAGGGGGCAGCTGAGCTTATCTGTGAGCAGTGCAAGCTCCAGGCCCCGTCCCTGGGAGCTCATCTCCCACTTGCAGCGAGGCAGTGCTTGCTGTGGGACAAGAGCAGAGCTGGTGTGCTATTCCTGGGCAGTGGGGAAAATATGAATAAACTGCAGCCGTGGCACCTTTGGTCGGACTGTCTGGCCCAGCATGCTTTGCAGCAGAGGGGTGTTGTGCTGTTTTATCTTACAAGCAATAAGTCTGGGAACAGGATTTCAGAGAACTTTAAAAGGATTCCCGGCAAGTTCTGACAACCGGTGGAAAGGAAGCATTTTGCTTTGAAGTTGCAGGACACAGAAGGGGTCTCATTCCCATGGAGCAGATGCTGGTGGGAATGTTTGAACCGAAGGGCCTGAGTCCCCACGCTGGTCAGACACACTGCGGTGACTGAGAAGCCCTGTCACAGGGAATATTGTACTCAGCTTACTCCGCTTCTGCTAATTGCGCTATTTTCAAAGAAAAGAATTAGTGTAGTATGGGGAGGGGGTAGTACACACATGCAGTACAAACTGAGAAGGCTGGAAGGATGGCAGTGTCCCCTAGTTCTTTTCTTTTTTCTTTTGGTTTTTTTTCTGGTACTGGGAATTGAACTCACAACCTTGTGCTTGCCAGGCAGGCGCTGTGCCGCTGAGCTAAATCCCCAGCCCTGTCCCCTAGTTCTTCCGGAATGAGCTTGGGGATGAAGAGTGGCTCTGTCGCTGGCTTGGCCCACTGATCATGTGAGCCCTTGGCAGTGTCAAGCTGTGGGCAGCAGCTGCCCAGGGCCATCCCTGGGATTCAGTTCCAGAAACTTTAGCATCTTCCAGGGAGCAATTTTCTCTACAAATGCACCGAGCCTGGGAGCTGACTACAGGTGCTTCCGTCACGCTGTGCTAAGTTCAGGACCAACTTCTGGGCCAGTACATTTCCACAGATATGATCTCATTGGAAAGGTGTGAACCTCTTATCCGTCAAGGGTGGATCCAGGATTTGTGGGGCCAAAGCCCGTTCTTTCCACAGATCAGAAAAATAATACTAAATCACAAATGCAAAGTTGAAGACAGGGCCTTAGGGACCACCCGCGCCTGGCAGAGGCTCTAAAACTTACTCTACTGGCTTCACAGGAGTAAATCATCTCTGCCTCACCACAGGGTCTCCGCAGAGGGCAGCCAGCCTGTGCCCAGTGAGCCGGACCTTTGGAAATGGAAGCGCACAGTGTACTGGGACAGAGACAATGCCTCTGGGGGACCGAGACAAGCACCATGTCCCCGTGGACAAAGGCTCCTCCCAGAATCCCAGCCACAGAGGACAACACAAAGGAGGCATGTGTCCTGTGTCCTCCAGTAACACGCAGTCATGGGCCCCAACCTTTTCTCGCACCATCGCTTCCCTTCGGAAGACACTAGCAGAGCGTCTGGCACACAGCCAGCTCATGGGCAAATGAATGCTGAGATGAAGAATTAAATTGAAACAAACAAAATACTCAACGTGATACCCCAAAGAATCTGACGTTCTCAAAGCGAGCTCAAAGACAAAGAGAGATTCCCTCCTTGTACCTCGGAGACCATGGTCTTCCTGTTTTTCCTGCAGTGTGGTAATAAATCTCTCCTTGTCCAAGAAGAGGGGCTTCTCCGGCATGGTCTTCATGGATACTGAAGGGCCGTCAGTCCTGGACCCTTGGCAGACTGGATTCTTTCTCCCTGAGACGTCTAGGGAAACCTGCAGATTTAATCCTGTTTGTGTTCATCACCCCTAGCCGCATCATCCTTGGTTTTTTTTTTTTTTTTGCTGGGATTGGCCAAGAAGGTCACTCTCTGCTGATCCCTAACTACGGCGCAGGGACCAATTACTTTCCATGAGAGGGGGAGACGGCAAGGCCTGGGCCGTTGTCTGTGCGCTAGTAGAGCTGCAGAGCCCTACAGGTCTGGGAAGTTGTGCTGAAGGAACTCCCCTCAGGGATGAAATTGTGTTTGGTGGAAGAGATTCCAATAGATGGTGGGGGAGTGAGGGAGCTGTCCACCGTGGAAGCTTCGGGAAGGGTTCATCTCTCCCCCCAGGCTGGGGTGACTGGACAGGGGTGTTCATGTGCTGATTCCAGGGCTGGCTAAGGACACTGTGTCCCACTAATTCACAGAGACCAAGTGCAGGAGAAAGGGTCCCAAGGCCTAGTGCACCGGGGGGTCAGCACACTAAATCCCGCAGTGAAAATTCATAATGACACACTCACATCAAAATCTGGAAAAGCTCATACTTGTAAAAAGCAAATCAGACCGGCTTGAACTGTGCCCAACCTTCCTCAACAGTTCCTGGCCGCAGAGGTGCTGCGCAGGTGACACCTGCACGTCCCAAGATTGCCTCCTGGGGTGTGGAACAGAGCCGGCCCTGAGGGCTGAGGAGCAGTGGCCTGAGCTAGAGGGTTCTTAGCTGCCGGAGCGCGCTGCACTGTATCTGACTCTTCCCTAAGGGTCAGCGTGGGAGTCTGTAGAGGGAATTTGGGGAGGAGGTGGGAAAGAGAGGGTCAAAAGTCCCCAAGAGCAATGCTTGTCTGTCCTGGACGAGAGAAACCGGGAAAAGAACGCCCGACTCTATGCCGTGAAGG